GGCCCGGCGCACCCTCGGGGTAGTCGGGATGCTCTCCGCGCGCAAAGGCGTTGATGGCCGCCTGCACGCGCGGGAGGTCAGAGCCGAAGGTGCGCAGCACGACCGAGAAGGACCGGCCCGACCGGTGCAGACAGTCGAGCGTCCGGTAAAAGGCGGGAAGCAGCGTGCCGGCGCCGTCCTCCGAAGACAGCGCGGGGTGCGGCGCATGCGCCCAGCGGAGTGCGGCGCGGCAGCGCTCGCGCTGTGCCGCGTAGACGGCCCCGGGCGAGCCGGCGTCGGCGAACTTCTTCGCGTGTGCGCGCTTGAGCGCCGGCTGCTTGTAGAAGGCGGCCGCACCGGGCGGAGTATCGAACGTCCAACCTGGCTGCAGCGGTGGCGGCGCCGGCGGAGATTCGGCCATCGGCGTCCCGTCGTGCCAGGCCGTCGGAGTGATGTCGCACGCGCCGTTCTTGCCCAGCGGGCCAGTCGCGCGGCAAAAGGCTGACTTGGCGAGGATCTTGTTGAGGCTGTCGTCGTACGTGTCGCCGCCGGCGGGGTCGCCGATCATAATCGTCTCGTTGACATCAAAATGGAGAACGAGGTGAGCAGAGGACGCCTCGCTCATGCTGCCGCTAAAGCATCAACGGCCGGGGCCACCCGTAAAAATTACGACGCAAAGGCGCGATAACGCCGGAAAGGAACGCTGGCTGGAGCGGCTTGCGCAGAGAAATAAGAGGGCTCCCGCGGCCCGACACCGATCATCCGGCCCGCTGGGTGCGCTTCTGAGCTCCTCGGCCCTGGATGTGAGGTTACTGATTGCACTCCAAGTGCTCCAAGTGCGGCGATCAACACCGCAACTCCTTTTCTAAATTTCACCACGCTTCTTACGCGCGACGACGCTACAGCCTCCACCAAACCTCACACTTTTACTCACCCTCGGACATGCTTGCACCGTCATCCTGCGCGTCTGATGCGTCGCGCATCTGCTCGTCACCCTCTCCGTCTCGTCCTCGGGCCGCTCCAGGTCCATGACGACGTTCGTCGAGGCGTGGAAGCGCGTCTCCAGGTCGATGGCCGCCTGCTCGGCCGCGGCGAGCTTGCCCTGGTCGACGCACATGCCGCACACCGCGTGCGCCGGGCAGCCGCACTGGCCGCGTTGTGGGCGCACGGTCTTGGCGACCGCCGGCGCTGCGCGCCGGTCGTGCTGCTCACGCTGCCGGCGGCGCTGGTCGCGCGCCTGCCGATCGCGCGTGTTCGCGGCGGCTGCATCTCTTGCTCGTTTCGCTCGCACCCGAGCGGCTGTCGCCAGGCGCTTCAGGTCGGCGGTGCTGCGCGCGCGGCCATCGGCCAGGCACAGCCACATGTCCTCCTCCTTAGCAGGCTCGCACGGCTTGCCGTCGAACTGCGGCTGGCGCCCGCGACGATGCTTCGCCCAGGCCGGGCACGATGGTGCCGCGACGAGCGGCGTCTCGAGGCGACGGCCATCGATGGGTCCAGAAGACTTGGAGACACTTCTACCAAAAAATCAAAAAAAATCGAGCACAATTGCGTTACATGGGCATGGCCGGGGTTTCTGCACCGAACGATCTTACTTTCGGTCTATCGCAGAGAAATAAACTCGTGGACTCCTCCCCCATCCCTCGTTTGGGTTCTCTGTTTTCTTTCTTTCTTTCTTTCCTTCAGCCATCCCTCCCTTGGGCTGCGTGTTTTCTTTCTTTCTTTTCCTTCAGGCATTTTTTGGCAGCTGGCATCCTATGGGTCGTCCAGAGTATCGACCTCTCGGCTTCACGCCCTTCCCCTTCGAAGTAGGGTACCACCCTACTATTTAGGGTGGGCTCCGGCGCCAGCCCGCATCGCCCCCAGATGGCAAGCGGAGCCTACCCACGTGGCGCGCGGGTGCCCTCGGCTTACGGACCGAGTCGCACGAGGCTCACATTAAGTGAAGAGGGCTGCCGTCGTAACCGAACGGGGTCAACTTTTGTTCACTCAGTATTGGTCCACCCTACAATCTAGGGGCGCGGATAGCACGCCCACGAGAGCTCTATGGCAGCCCGCCAGCGGCGCGGCGCGATGGCACTAGCCCCTGCGGCCGCTCCAGAGTCCGTTCCGGCGGCCGCTCGGGCCGGCCTCGACATGCTTGGGAAGGCCCCCGCACGGGGGGTCCCGGGGGGGGGCACCAAGCATGATCGTCCGGACGGGCCCTCCGTACACGGAAGCAGGGTACCGGAGGCATTCCCGAACTCAAAACAGGGTACCAAGGGCAGATATGAGCTCAGCTCAGTGAGATCTAGCAGCACATACCCTTGGTGCCCAGAATAGTTCAGTCTGAAAAAGACGGTCCGACCGCGCGGAGCCGTCTGGCTGTCTGCAGAGCCCCCGCGGGCACGCCTAGGGCGAGGAGGAGGAGGGGGGGGGGGGGGGAGGAAGAAGAGGAAGAAGAGGGGGAGGAGGCCCCCCCGACTGCGCCGCGGCGCGGCCCCCTAGGGGGCGGCGATCGGCGCCCCCCCCGCGAGCAATCGCCCGCACCAGCGCCAGCGCCAGCAGCAGCAGCAGCAGCGCCAGCAGCAGCAGCGCCCGCCCGGGGGTCCACGCGCCACCGTCCCGCTTAAGTGAGAGTTGTCTTCTTGTTCCTATTGGGCCTACTGTCTGGCTTGGATGAGACGCAGCGACGGTGTGTCGCGGCGGGTCTCTAGCGGCGCGGCCCGCGCTGCGCGGAGCCGCAGCCGGCACTGACAGGCCAGGGCCCCGGCCGCGGCCCACACTCAAAGTGACGGCTCCAGATATCTTCGGGTAGCTCTCGTGGGCATTTAGTGTTGCCTGTGTGGTCAGGGGACCCCCCACGGGGCTTCTGTGTGGCTTTGGAAGACTCCCCTAAAATCTACTCTCAGACCCTAAAATCTAGGGGGGCAGTCTGGCCGCGAGACCGCTCTTGGCTTGTCACGTTGATCGTTGTCAGCCAGTCATCACATGACCACCATGAAGTACAGCGATCGCCATCTCTCTCGCTAGTTAGTCTCTCCGCAAGGCCCCAGACCGCGTCGATCGAACTCATCGGCGCGGGCTCTCTCGGCCGTACGGGACCGGCCCCAGCTTCGGCTGAGGGCTGACAAGTTGCCGAGCCCAAGTCACTGTGAGAGTCGTGATTTTCTTGTTGGTTTCCAAAAATCTCTCTCTAGACTGAAGCGTGAAGGATTCTTTGCTCCTCCGACGCACTTGGAGCACTTGGAGTGCAGTCCGACGACTGCCTATTTGTTTGTGCGCTCGGCTCCTTTGTTTGAACCCCTGCTTGCTTGAGTTTGCGTTTTTGTTCTCGCCCTGCTGTTGCTCGCTCCCATTCTCTCCTGTGGCATTTAGCACCCAGTTATTACTTTAGCGCGCTTCATCCGCCTTCTCTGCCTTTTGAAGCACTTGGAGTGCAGTTATTAGCCTCACATCCAGGGCCGGGGGGCTAAGAAGCACACCCAGCGGGCCAGATGATCGGGATCGGGCTGCGGGTAAGAAAGCCCTAGCCCTGGGGGGTGCGCGTTCGCAGGGAAAGGGCCGTAAAGTAAACACGGCTCACGGGTCTCCGAGGGTTAGTCCGCGCTTCTCGGGGGTTTCCCCTAGCGGCGCCGGCGGGCGCGGGGCGCCCCCTCTGCCTTCTGTGGTCCGCCTGCTCTCCTCTCTCTCCCACTCCAACAACACACACACCTCCTCGCCGTCCCAAAGCAAGTAAGATATTTTTAAGTTTGTTGTAGTACAGCTAATATCTAAAAACTCTCTTTTCTCCCTCTCTCTCTAGAAACAGTCAAACAAACTCGTCAGACGAAAAGGATCCCTCTCCGCCCCACTCCTCCC